ACGCGCCGTTCAAACTATGTCTACGATATATATTCAAAGTCGTGGGACATCTAAGGCACACATTTAATATTAAAAATAGAAAATGATATGAACGCCCTTTTTGTGGCCATCAAGAAGCTTTTTTCTTTCATCTTTCATACGTATGTGTGATTGTATGTTCATCTTTCGATGAATATACATCACAGGAATTGCATGTTCACGTTCTCAATATGGCGACGTACTGCGTGCTGAGCGACGCGATGGCGGCGTGAGACGGACCAGCGTTGCGACGAACGAGGGGCCGCTATATCGTAACGGTCGTTCATGGTACCGGCCAATCGATCTTCAAGCGCAGAACATCCAGCGGAAGGGATATAAGTGCGAAACAATTGTACGACAAACGGTGCACGCAAACTCGTCGTTGTCGTCGCTGTCGTCTGGTTCACACACCGGATAAGCGGAGAAAATAAACGATGTCGGGTGTAGCCACGTGACTTCCAGCCATGAGCTTGCGTGCTCGTGTTTCAATTTCGGTTTCGAGCAATTTTTATGCCTATATATATATATTGTGACCCATTCATCGTTTCGGGATGGAAAAGGGAGTCGCTTTTGGTGGAACTACGGAAGCAAGCTCCTGTTGGATAACACGTCGCAACCCGGTGTCGTCGGTCTCAGGCGTGGGGTTGCTTGTAGTTGGTCGGAGAAAACGGGCAAGCTCATCTCGTACAATTTTTTGTATTATCTGCTTGAGAGAATCAGTGGATATAGAATGCAGTGCAATTGATGAGCTGTCATGCAGAGCTCGGACTTGAAGGCGGGAATTCCGGGCCTCATCTAGCCGCTGACAGTGCGTAGTGATGTCTTTCACTGTCGTCGGGTTTTGCACGAGAACATTAAATGCCTCTTCAGAGATGCCTTTCATAATATGGCGGACTCGGTCGGCTTCGGACATGTCTTTGTCATATCGGCGGCAAAGTGAAAGAACGTCTTCAATATAAGAAGTGTACGTCTCGCCAGATGTCTGGATCCTGGCTGCCAATTTACGCTCAGCTATAGGTTTACGATTGGTGGGTTTTCCAAAAATTTCCGCCAGCTGAGTTTTGAATTGGAGCCACGTCGCGATTTCATCTTCGTGGTTTGTGAACCATATTTTCGCCACATCGGAGAGGTAAAAAATAGCGTTGCGCAGCTTTGCTTGGTCGTCCCACTTGCTGTAAAGGCTCACCCGCTCATAGACGTCCAGCCAGTCCTCTACGTCGTCCTCGCGGAGTCCCGCGAAGGTTTTGGGATGTCGCAGCTGGCTGGGGGCAGGACTGATGGCAGCTGCAGAGGCACCGGAGGAGGATTGGCCAGTGCTGGTCATCGTTGCTGGTCGCCTTCTGGGGCGAAGCTCCAGAGGGATAGGAACGCCGGTACAGGGATGTGGCTACCCTGCACCTCCACCAATAATGTGACGGACACAGAGGCTTGGCGACGGTCATCGTTGGATTGTCACAGCCGCTGATCCCTTGACTAGATACGCTGAGACCGCCGCGCTGACCTCTGCGACATCTGAAGAAATACCTCAATTCTTTGTACTAATATATATACTCCTACGTCACGGCGAGCCACAAGTTCTCTTAAGCGACCGCAAACGGCAGTTTCTTTCGAGCACACTTGCAGCCATTTTGAAAGCCTCTCGGGTAGTTCACAAGACAACATCATCATATCATCCTCAGCCAAATGGGCTCACCGAACGTTTTCATAAGACTCTCGCTGACATGATATCTATGTATATCTCCAGTGATCATTCAAACTGGGACACAATACTCCCCTTTGTAACTTTCGCCTACAACACTGCCCTCCAGTCTACTACAGGCTAGTCCCCTTTCCATTTAGTGTACGGTCGCGAAGCTTCATGCACTATGGACACCATCTTTCCTGTTGCTCCGTCAACCGACCAAAATGACCTCCTCACCAATTTCATCTCCCGTGCCGAAAAGTGCCGCCAGCTCGCACAGCTACGCACATCGCGACAACAACATATAGCCAAGGATCGCTACGACAAGCATCATACGCATACCTCCTACGCTCCCGGTGCCTTTGTGTGGGTTTGGACCCCCGCCCGACAACCCGCCCGAATGGGCAAGTTTCTTCACAAGTACATCGGCCCCTACCGAGTCATTGCGCAAACATCCCCCGTGTCGTACCTCGCCGAACCCGTGTCCTCCTCCAGCGATGGCCGCCGTCGTACTTCAGAGGTTCTACATGTGAACCGCTTGAAACCCTACCACCCACCGCTACCCACCGCTTCCCTTCACCACTAACCACCCCACCCTCCTAACCCCTCCTCCCCACCGGGTAATGTGACTTATCCATCGACCCGTGCAGCCATCACCCTCATTAATGTCATCATCACCACCATCGCCGATAGCTCGCGCCGCCCGCTCGGGGCAGCGCGGTTCAGTTCGAATATAAACATAATTGAAACCTGTCGCCAAGCCTGTCTCCCTCACAATATATATACATATATATATATATATATATATATATATATATATATATATATATATATATATATAATACATTTCGTTTCTTGTGCATTAATAAGACAGGTAGGAAACGCCAGAAAGCCAAGGTGGAGTGGTGTAGAGGTTAGCACACCCGACCGGACTTTGGGAGGCCCAGAGTTCAAATCCTGGCTCCGCCGTTTTTTGGCTTTCGGTGGGTTCCTGAAAACTTTGATTCTTTAATTCATTGGATTAAGTACGGTTCATTCATCTGCACATATTCGTTTATATCCTGCTCGGAGACCACGTACGATGGTGTGAAGTGCCCGTGTTGTATACTCATTAACGTGGCTCTTGATTCTCGCAGATGATGATGATACCGTGTCTCTGAAGCTCATAAACAAAGAATACTACTACATGTACACGGGGCGAGACAAACAGTGGGAGGATTTCTGGAGCACAAACGAGCACGTACCACGTGACACTAAGCGTCGTACCGCGTTCCACGCGGCGGCATGTGTTTCCAGAACACCTCCGATTGGATACATTTCGTTTCTTGTGCATTAATAAGACAGGTAGGAAACGCCAGAAAGCCAAGGTGGAGTGGTGTAGAGGTTAGCACACCCGACCGGACATTTCCCGGAGTTCAAATCCTGCCTCCGCCGTTTTTTGGCTTTCGGCGGGTTCCTGAAAACTTTGATTCTTTAATTCATTGGATTAAGTACGGTTCATTCATCTGCACATATTCGTTTATATATATATATATTAAAAATATACGCGGCTCTGTAGTAAAATATTGATTGGGTAGTCTTTTGACACCCAATTAAATCGCCTAGCAAGAAATATTTAAGAGAAAACATTTTTGGGGTTGTCAGCGTCCCTTTAATTTGTCACAGACAGCTTAAGAAACATAGGGCATGGCGGGTCCCGGGTACCTTCTTGTGTTCTGTTATTCTGTGTGTTTTCTTATTTTGTGTTTTTTTTATGAATGTGTATATGTGTGTATGAGCGTGTAAAAGTACTACGGCCTCGGCTGCTTCAGCAGGCACGTAGCCAGGATTTTGTTTCAGAAAGCGGGGGGGGGGGGGGGGGGGGGGGTTCGTTCATGGCAAAATGTTGTATGAGGAAGAGGGGGGAGGGGAGAGGAGGCTCCAGCAAAATGGAAGATTTCGGGAAGAGGGGAGGGGGGACCTGACTCCATGGCCCGGGGGGTTGGGGGGGGCCCCCCCAACCCCCCGGGCTACGTGCCTGTGCTTCAACACACAAAACAAATAAATAAAATAAATAACTACACAGCCAATGGAATTGCCGCATCACCTAATATCAACGCCGAAAAACGAATCGCAGAGTAAAGCCGCGGTCAGACTGCTAATACTTCGTACAGGAGACAGTCTGCTTAAACCGTCTGCTGCTTGTTTCTTCCTAGTATGACGGTCCCATTGGTCACACAAAAGCTGTCTGCAAGCATGTTGCAAGTGAACATGAATTAAGCCTGCTTCGAGCACGGCCTAAGCTTGTCCGCAGATAATCATGTCATCATGCCTGCTGCAACCACCGCGTCTCTTGTATGATACACGAGCAGTGCGACTGCGGCTTAAGAACGTAATAATTCCCCCATCCTGCGTTTCTTAGGCCGTCGGTGACTACATGGTGACATTTGTTTCATTACCTTAACAATAATTATTTCGTTACCCTCGTGCCCTCATTTTTTCTATAGTCGGTAACGCAATCCCAAACGAATCGTTCCTTGTTTTTTTTTTTTTTTTTTTTTTTTTTTTTTATGAGCTTATCTGCGTAATACATTCTCTCTAAAACAACAACAAAAAAGATGTATCTCGTACCACTTGTTCTGAGTTGCGAAGAGGGCCCTTATTGGTACAGTAAGCTATATAGCTTGTACGCCCTCCCTAAAGACAATACATAAGGGCGGGCGTAAAATAGAAATAGAATAAATAAGGAATCGGTGGAAGCTTTCTTTTTACGCAGAAAGTTGTACCACCTGCACAGAACGCCGTTTTCTCTTACAAATGGGTGTCTTTCTTTCTGCGTATACGAAGTTACCGGGTAAAGTATCCCGATTTGAATCGATCTGGAAATTAGGGCAGCTGGGAAGGCTGGACCGTTGTGTTCTTTTTCTGCTTTTTCTTCAAAACTATAAGGCTTATCGGGCTTACCCTATACGGCGCGCAAGTGAAGGAGAGGGGGAGGTGAGAACCACTCCCGGACGCGTTCCAAGTTCCAACAAACGAGGAAATTTCATGACCGAGGTGGTACTCTACTCCGGACTGCGGAGCAGCTGCAGGAGCAGAGCTTTGGCGCACACGTGATCACTCCCTCCCACTACGTCCCATCTCCTCTTCTCCTTCATTGGCGCGCCGTATTGAGCCAGTGAGCGCACCGCGGTAACTAAACGACTCAGGTATCTGTAAGCAAGCCTTTTGGCTTCCTTGTACAGACTTGATGATAAACGTGTGTCAAATGAGGGTTCACTTTTGACTGTGTACGCTAACTTAAACGCTTTTTTTTTCAGCAATGGACGAGATGAAGGTGAAGACTTTCCTTGAATGCACCATGTCCAAGGCCCCTGCAGGGGTATGTTGAAGAAAAAGTACCAATCAGACCACATGGAAAAAATAGGCCGCGTCACTAAAAAGATGACGCTTTATGGTTATGGAAAGCAGAACGTACACGTACTCTCCGTGAAGTCCGCGCGTCCTTCTTTACCGCGAAGCAAATTGTAATTTAGTAAGTTATACCCAGTTATATCCTAGTTACACGAGCACTCGTAACCGTGGTTAAATGTGACTGAGGGCAAGCTTAACTGCGTTTAAGGGTGCCCGACAGGCAGCCCAGACAACATTTGCACTTTTAAGTATGCTTAGCAGTTGGTACCAACTATACCCTGAGGTCACACTAACTGCAGTTATCTAGAGTTACACGGCAGACCAAGCTGGTGGTTAGCCTACTAACCATTGTGTGCGTGAAATGAGGTAGGCAGCCGCACTTTGGGCTCGGTAATCTCGTTTCTTGCTAACTGACAAGATGATTGCGCTCGAGTCAGCACCGTGCAGCGCGGGACCGTCCAAAGCGTATTCCCAAAGCGTGTAAACCGGCCTGTCGGTCGCAACCACAGAGGCCTTGATACGCGTTCCGCGTCGCGCTCTAACACGAGGAATGCACGGATCTATATATGTCGCAATGGTAGCGTATAACTTCCCGCGTAACGTACGTTTCGGGCAGTGTGACCTCGGTCTGCCAAAGTTTAAGGTTGCACGCAAAAGGTGAGAAATTCGGTTAGTGGCCGCTAGCCCGATCTTTGATGCGATCGCTAGCCCAGGATCATTGAGCCGCACTCGAACTGCTTCGCACAAAGAACCGTCTGCAGACAACACTGTCCGAGGCGCATTTCTTCCTCGTATATGACGGTCCCCTTGGACATAGAAGACACTGCCTGCAGGTGTGTTCGAAGCATACATATGTACGAAGCAAACATGTGTCTTTTGTATACGACGTACCACGAGCAGTGAGACTGCAGCGGCTCTATAGGTGCACCCTGTTATTGGCCGCCCGTGAATGTCCATTGCGTGACGGGGCTGTTGCGCCGCAGACCCTGGAGCTGTGGGAAAGCACCAAGGCGATGTTCAACGGCAGACCACCCGAGCAGGCGGTCACGGCCCTCTGCAAGACATCTCCCACTGCGGGCGCCAGTCTGGTCAGTGAGCGACGCCAAGTTGGAACGTCGTGTGATTTTCTTAATACCGTCGAGACGATGGCTCGCGTCTTTCCCGCCCCAAAAGGTCATTCCTGTAGTGCATGCAGCGCACAGGTGAATCTCCGCCGCGCCGTATGTGTACCTGCAGTGTCAGCATCGCCGTTAGTTTGTCTCGCGTGCGTCCCACCGCCAGCGTACCTGTACGTTAGCAGGCGGCGACGCCATGACGGAACCCGTCTGCTGCTTGGCGGCGGCTCTCGTCCAACTTGAGCGCGCTGTTTGCCGCTTCAGGTGAATCAGAAACCTAACGATGCCTTTGCGAAATTCAGTGCCATCTGGTGGCTCAGATGGCAGTTTAACTTTTTCCTTATGCTAACGGCGGCAATGAACCTGTTAGTCTGGAGTATTTTATCGGGCACCGTCACTTTTTCGAGTCAATGGCAAACGAGACTGTATTGTATTGTATTGTATTTTTGTCAGACGAAAACGTCTGGGGGCTAGGGTAAAACAAAACATGCTTGCCTTCGGACAGGACCCCATCCCCAGGTTTTTACAACACTCAGCCGAGAAAATATACAAAGAACAGAGGATAAAGAATCATTCTCACACGTATCACATAAATCAGCATTTGATAAATAGCAATGTGGTTTAAAAATGAGAAAAATTAATATTGTAGTACAAACTGCAGGTCAAGAAAGCTCTTCACGGTACAGTTATTTCTCGATCTCTTTCAGTGTCGAGTGCCACAAAGATGCAGTCAGTCAAAGCAAAGCGTCAACCCTTATAGACGCCTCGATAAAGTTCTATACATTGAGGGGCTTTGAAGCCGACTGTGTGCTACTAACAGATTGACATAGCCCGAATCATAAATAAACTGTAAAAGGGTGGTCTCCTAGGCTAGTTGATCGTTGAACGATTTTATTAAAAGACACGGCAGAAGCACGCAGTAGACGGAGAGTAGATGGAGCATGGAGGACAGAAATGAGCGCTTACAAGGCTCTTGCATTCAATTTCTGCTTCGCATCGTGCTGATGTCTCGAATGTATCCTCGAATCATCAGCTTATAAGCATCTTCAACGTCTTCCTTCATCAGTAAACAGAAGGCCGCCATTAGTGCGGCTAGTACGACACGTACGCTATTTTTCAGATGCTGATAGTGATCAAAGTGGCCAGACTAAATTTCGGAAAGGGCCTTTCTCCAAAGTCAATGGACGCTCGCCTTGGAATCTGCACTGAGACAATATCACACAGTTTGTTTTCAGTGCCGGCAAAGGCGCACAGACAGGCGCGAGAGCACAGTTTCAAAACACGGAACGCTCTGTAACAAAAAGGACCTAACGGCAGATATTTGACTGCCCGTCAGTACGTTCATGCATTTCTGCGCTAAATTTAGCGAGCGGGGAAAATTGGCGCATCACGTGTCCCAACGTCTTGTGACGTCAGCACACGAAACACTGTGACGTGACTGTGTCAAGTTCTGGTCTCATGTGACGTTAGGTTACGTAACTTCAATTGCCCGCTAAAATTTAAAGGGGCGAAATGAATACTCAATATATTCTACACCGCGCCAACCGACGTTACTGGAGCAAGCTCAATAGGGGGTTTTCGTAGATTGTTTTTGCCGTCCCGCAATGCCCTCCGCAACCCGCTACGATACCCGGAACTCTACAGTCAAGGCCATGGGCGCGCTGGCGAATTAGCGGTTTCTTCGTTGCGGAGGGCTTAGCGGAGGGGAAACGCGGTCTACGAAAACTCCGTAGTTTCACAGCTCCGCCTGCGACGTGGGCACAGTGGCAGTCACGAGAACTATCAGCGTTGCAGTCGAGTCTTGCTTTCGGATTGTCTAGCCCGCCAAGTTTGAATAGCAACAGTTGAGCTTGGGCGAGTTGCTGGTTCATACTAACACTTCTCGGCGCAAGGAAACAAGGCACACAAAAATGGAAACGCAGCGGAGACCGGTGGCTTCGCTGCGTTTCCATACAAATTAAACTTTTTTCTTTTCTTTTTTTTTTTTTCTTTCTTTACTTTTTCCTCGGGTAAGCTCGCTCTTTGCGAATTTTATAAAAAAAGGTTCAGCACCTGTGGCCAACGTTGTAAAGATCGGAACGCGATAGGTTAAGAAAGCGAATTTCGCGGTCGATATAAAGAGCCTGCCCGCTCCTTGAATCCCCCGGTAGAAGGCGAGGCCTGCGGCGGATTTCCTCTTCTGAAGTGATCATGATTCCCGTCTGACGTCTGAGCCCGGCTCGACCACAATGGAGCGGACCATACAATGGAGCGGACCGAAAAACTAATATTTATTATCCATCGCTTACAAGAACGCGTCCACGTCGCCGCGAGCGCTTCCTTATTTTGGCTACAGACGTCCTACTGCATTTGGCGATTTGCAAATGATGGAGTCGTAGCAGGCCTTGTCTTTTGAGCATTAAGGCTCATTCATTCACCTGCATGAGTCCGACCGAGTACGACTGCAACGGCTTGCGGTGTACGGGTTGCCATGGCAACAGCTTCGGTGACTCCAACAAAGCCCCCCGTCTTGTTGGAGCCGACGCAGCTGTTGCCATAGCAACCCGAACGTCAAAAGCCGTTGCAGTCGTACTCGGTCGGACTCAACGCAGGTGAGTGAACCTGAACCAACCTTTATTGCTTCGGGTCAATTCTGAAGGCGTACAGAGACGCGCATCGGCTGCGTCCACTGCAAATGCCAAGGTTGACAACTGCATGGCCAAATGTCGTAAGTTGCCATGATAACAGCACGCGCGTGCGCATCACATCGAAACAGTGAGTATCATTAACGAATCGTTTGTGACCGACTACTCACGAGCCTGGAAAAACGAGCGCACTTGCTCTTTTCGGGGTGCGATTGGTTGTTCGCAAGCAACGAATCTACATTCGCCTAGGTTCGCGCGGATTGCAACGGTTACCATGGCAATTAGTGGTCGCTGCCGTCGCAGCTCCAGTGAACAGATAGATGTCCGAACGGGCCCTTGTAGTCCACATGCCTTCACAACCGCAGCCACGAACAAAGCCTCATGTCGTTTGGTTCTGCTTCCATTCCAGCTTGCGGAATTTATAAATCAGCAAACCGTAAGTATACGATTCTTCGTTTTATTGCTTTGCACGCGAGTTTTCGTTGTTATTATTGATGTGCCTCACTTGTATGAGCACAAAAAGGCGCTGCCTGATCAAAGAAATCTTTTTCGTTGGCTAAAGGTATTGTGTATACGAGAAAACGTTATATATAGAACTGCCAAACTATAAGTGTTCATGCAAATAAAGTTGTTCTTGTTTGTTGTTGCTGTGGCTGTTGTTGCTTTGTTTTTATTGTTGTTGTTCTGGTTGTTTAATTCATACGTGCACGTGTGTATTCCTTACCTCACCGAAAAACCAAAATTTTGCAAATCCAATATGAAGGTTTTGATTAGTATGGACGACGAATATAAAACACATGCTTTCAATACAACTGCTAACACGGAAAAAAAGATAATGGACAGGCCGGGTGGCTAGGAAAGCAATTAATTTAAAAGTCTTCTAACTGTGTGAAAGACGCATTATAGGGCGCCATCGATTGCTCGTTTAAAACTTAGCTTTAGAAGTCATTTGTTCCTCACCTGCATGCTCAGATGGTCAGAGTCATACACTGCTGAACCCGGTAATTTATAATCGGTGACATGTTAAGGGTTCAGGAAAAACTCTTCCCACCTCTTTCCACTTTAGCAGAGCAAACGCTTCAACGGCCTCCTCTCCAGCATTCGCTCTGCCAAAATGGAAAGAGCTGCAGTTTTCCCCTGAACTCTTAACCTGTAACCGACTTTAGTTACATCCCTAAACAAAAGTGGGTCATTGTTGTTTTACAAACCCATTGCGCGTCCTTTTTTTTATATAACCTGCTTTCTTTTTCTTTTTTTTTTTTTTGTTTTTTTTTTTTGTAGAAGTTATATGACTTTGACTATTTTCCTCGTGAAAAATAGTCCAACATTGCTCGCGTACTGGATGCCGACAATTCGAAAACTCTAATGTGTGTTTGTTTGTTTTTAGCCAGATTTGTTTATTTTTAGAGGCATATTAAATGCTTTCAATTGAAAATGATCGAGTCAACGTTTCTTTGAGGTCCCTCAGCAAATAATATCCATATAAAAAGCAACCTTCTCAGAGTTCTATTCGCTTGCCTCGCTTCCGGACCGGTCTCCGAGTTCTTATCTGGTCTAATCGCTCCAGCATTGGCCGTCCCGAGATCTTGGGTTGACCGAAGCCTGCCACTTAAAAAACACAAGCACGCGACGAGTGCAGACTGAGGCACAACGCGCAACCGACGCTACGAGCTGATGGGACCAATCAGACGGCGTCAAACATGCACCATCGCGGTTTTTCGTCACGTTGCTGCGCCTGGTCTATCATCGCTGAACAAATCGTAAACAGGAAAGGCGCCTAGTGACTTGCACTTTCAACGCCGTTCGATTGGTTCCTCGTTGTCTCGTAGTATAGCTGTGATTCACCTTATAATAGACCCGCTACGAGCCGTCCAATCCTATCTGATGCCATGTGAGTCACGTGACCTTTGATTGGGTAGCAGTAGCGCGTGGGACGCGTTGTCATATGATACGTTCACGGCGCTGCACTGGCTGGTGGGGGAGGGGTCGTATACGGCGTCCGCGCGCGGTCTAACATGCAACTGTTGACGAAGTGGTATAATCTAGCAGGATGAACTTATAGAATGCCTCTCTTGTTTCAGAAAGCTGACAAGCCTAAATTCAAAAAGGCAATAAAGGACTGCACTACCTGAGATGACGTACCGATACGGCCCTCCTGGGCGCTGACCTCAGTGCGACCACGTCGTCCCACGTGGTTCTTCGATACCTATAGAAATAAAGTGATTCAGCTCACTATACGATGGAAGACTTTCGTTGTTTCGATGTTTCTATTACACTTCGCTTTGCTTGAGATAGCGCTCTCCACTCCCCTTCGCGAAGATAAAAACGCGATATCGTGCGCTCTTCTGCCTCTTCTGCCACACTCCCTGTCTTGCTGTGACAGGGAGTGTGGCTTGCATTGTGCTCCGGCGAGGTCAGAGTTATTGATTCTTCGGAATCCGAGGGAGAGATTGTGTGCCGAAGCCGGAGAGCGTGCGGATATTGGGGCAGCACATTCAGCAAGGCAGAAGGGACAAACCAACCCTGGACAGACTGGACCATGATCACGCAGGTGTGTGATATATGTTGAGGAGAATTAGAAATAAAAAAGCATAGGATTAAGGAGGAGGCGGTCCAGCTCTTCCAGGCCTTCATTATCACCAGGTTGACTTATCGGACACTGTATTTACGACTTAACGAGACGGAGATGCAGAAGCTAAATGTTTTTATGCAAAGGGATTATAAGAATGCATTGGGGCTACCGGAACGGACAGCCACAAAGAGGCTACTCAAGCTGGCGGTACAAAACAGCATTGAGGAGCTCCACAAAGTGCAATTTATTTCTCAGCTCAGGAGGCATGAGGGGACAATTAACGGTATAGGTGGCTTTTAGGCAAACTTCAGATGGCGGTACCCGGAGGCTCTCGAGAGGGAGAGGAGATCAGGGGCGCGATGGATTATGAAAGAGACAAAGGTTCGTATTTAGCAGAATTCCTCGGAACATGCAGGCACGCACCGCAGCCTTGTCTTTGTCTTGGGGCAGCAGGTAAGGCACGCTGTACGTAGATGGGGTCGATCCCGTGTCGGGCATAGCGATAATTGCTGTGGCGGATGCTCAGGGGCGCGTGGTAAGGATCGCTTCGATTCGACGCGCTCGGCGGAGCAAGCGAAGGAGGCGGCGATTGCTTTGGCGATCATGTGCCACTGGCTACGATAATATCTGACTCTCAAAGGCTAATGTTGAGGGAGTTTATTTGATCTGCATGGGCTCCAGGCCATATCGGGAAAGCGGGCAATGAGGCGGCGAATGCCGCGGCCCGAGACACCTTAAACCGGGACTCACCCCCGGCCCCAGAGGCTTCGGATTACCCTATATTAAATTCTTGAAGGTCAGAAGACAGGGTAGGATGGACTTTCCTCACCTACCAGGAAACTGACGAAGGAAGACGAGTTTGTGTGGCGAAGACTGCTAACGGACACGGTTGTGACACCAGCTGCATGTGTGATACCCGGAACTGTTCCTTCCGCGGGGCGCACTGGGCGGACATTCATCATCTGGCTTGGGTGTGTAAGAAGATTCCAGCACTCGTGCCAGTGCGTGATCTTACTCTTGAGAAGTGAAAAACGCGGCTGAGGAGTGAGGAGGCCTGCAAGCAGAGACTGCTCGTCGGCCGTGCTAGGCAAGTCCTCGCCGCGCTTAGAACCCCGGAATACGGATACCCACCTTTTTCTCGCCATATTTCCTTTCACCCCACTTCCCTTCCCCAACTTTCTTAAAATAAAGGTTTTTCAACAACAGTCTTCACACTCCGTGACGACACGTCCACAAACAAGATGGCTGCGCTTTTGTCGAGACCATCGAGACGAAGGGCGCAGCCGGACCGCTGCCCCTTTTCAGTTGATTAATGCTTAATCCAGCAGGTAAAGACGATTTGATTTGAAAGCCAAGACATAAATTAGCGTTCCGGCCGGGTTTGTTCGTGCATCTCGCCTGAAAACGAATTCATCTATCAAACGGTAGCGTGCCGATAGCACAGCGACAGAAAAGTGGTCGAGATGAGGAGACATTCGGACCGCTGCCCCTTTTATAATGCCCAGCCCAGCAAATAAAGATATGATTATAATGCAATTAAATGCAAAGGTGCAAGCGAGCTGGACAAGAATGACGAAAATAATCCCTGGAGAAGGGGAACAAAGGGACAAAGGACAAGCACAAATCTCCAAACACAGCTAGGTGACCGAAAAAATCCGCCTAATCCGGGTATCGAACCCGGGACCTCTCCATTACCAGTGGAGCGCTCTACCAACCGAGCTAATCAGGGGTTAGACGTCAGTGGAGCAAGCCGGTTTTATCAGCTGCTCATATAATATAATATAATATAATATAACCCCCCAAAAAAGATGGCCGACCGTGGCCGCATTCCCATCCATAGGAGGAGCTGGTTGAACGCGATCCAGCTTCACTGGAGAAGGGGAACAAAGGACAAACACAAATCTCCAAACACAGCTAGGTGACTGGTGACGTCTAACCCCCTTGTTAGCTCAGTTGAGCGCTCCACTTGTAATGGAGAGGTCCCGGGTTCGATACCCGGACCAGGCGGATTTTATCGGTCGCACACCAGTCACCTAGCTGTGTTTGGAGATTTGTTTGTCCTTTGTCCCTCTTGTTCCCCTTCTCCAGGGATTATTTTCGTCAAATAAAGATACTTCGCTTGGAGAGCCGAAACACACGTTAGCGTTGAGGGAAAGGTTTGTTCATGCATCTTGCCTGAAAAAAAAACAAAAACGGATTGATCTATCGAACAAGCGTGCCGATAGCCATGGGCGTACCAACCCCCCCCCCCCCCCCCCCACACCAAGCTCTCAGATTGTGGGGGCAAGGCATGTGCCCCCCTGAAACCATAGAGTTATTACAATAAACGCTAGAGGCTCAGCTGGTGCTAGTGTCTACGGGACTTCCGGTTGCAAATTGAAGCAGACAGCATGCAGTCTACTTTTCCAGTCCTCCTGTGTATTCCTATGGGAAAACGCGCATGAATTTTGTCTCATCGCCGGAAAATAACATTAATAACTTTTGTTATTTCGGTTGTACCGGATAGTATGTACCTTTATTAATATTTTGAAAGTGTAATTGCTTTAGTTACAGCCTTTTTCCTTTACCACTGAACGATGTTAAACTTCGCTAAATTTCAGGCCCAAACCTCTGTTTCATGGCAGGTATGTAGAAACGAGCGACGATTCCAAGCAAAATAACGATCGAAAGGAATGTAGAGTGTGTTCAAAGCTCGTCAGCATTCCGTTGGTGCTTATAGCTCACTATATGAAAATGCCCCCGTCGTGCATCTTTACGAGTGGTTAAAAAAACGTTCGAAACGTAAAGAATAAAGTACGTGGGCTACGAAAGGTGTATTTTCTTATTATTTCCTATGTTGGGCAGTTTTT